GAGTGCAGTAGCGAGATCTTGGCTCACTGCAACCTCCACCTCCCAGGAGAATCAAGCGATTCTCCTGCCTTAGCCTCCTGAGTGGCTGGGACTACATGCATGCGCCACCATATCTGGCTACTTTTTTGTGTCTTTAGTAGACATGGGGTTTCACCATGTTACCCAGACTGGTCTTGAACTCCTACCTCAAAGGATCTACCCGCTTTGGACTCCCAACGTGCTGGGATTACAGATGTGAGCCACTGTGCCTGGCCAACAACTTGGCTTTTTTTTTTTTTTTTGAGACGGAGTTTCACTTGTTACCCAGGCTGGAGTGCAATGGCGCGATCTCGGCTCACTGCAACCTCCGCCTCCTGGGTTCAGGCAATTCTCCTGCCTCAACCTCCTGAGTAGCTGGGATTACAGGCACGCACCACCATGCCCAGCTAATGTTTTGTATTTTTAGTAGAGATGGGGTTTCACCATGTTGACCAGGATGGTCTCGATCTCTTGACCTCGTGATCCACCCGCCTCGGCCTCCCAAAGTGCTGGGATTACAGGCTTGAGCCACCGCACCCGGCACAACTTGGCTTTTAATAGTCAAATAAGAAATCCTTCATGGAAAGAGAAACCAATGAATATTCTGAGACTCTGTGGTACCTTTCTGGACATAAAGCTTAAATAACACTCATATGCTCAATCTACCCTTTTCCATGAAATATTCTATATTTCCCATTAAGTCTTTTTTATTAATTAATTCATTCAATAAGTATTTACTGAGCATCTGCAATGTGCTAAACACTGTCCTTGGCACTAGAAATATAACAATGAACCAAAATGACAGTTTCTAACATCACTAACATATACTCTTAGTGTGAAAGGCACACTAAAGACACAAGCAGCTGTGTGCAGTGGCTCACATCTGTAATCCCAACGTTTTGGGAGAAGAACACGCTTGTAATCCCAGGTACTCAGGAGGCTGAGGCAGGAGAATAGCTTGAACCCCGGATGCAGAGGTTGCAGTGAGCTGAGATTGCACAACTTCGCTCCAGCCTGGTCAACAGGCTTTGTCCCCAAAAACAAACAAACGAACAAACAAATAAACCACAAGCAAATACTTAGAATAATGTAGGTAATGCTATGAAGAAAAATAAAGCAGGATAAGAGGACAGGACAAAGCATGTTATTGTGGTAGGCAAAATTCTAAGATGGTTCCCAAGATTCTTGGCCCCTGGTATACGCATATCTTCCCTGAATTATTAAAATAGTAATGTACGTATTGCTGTGATTAAAAGAGGGATCTGAATTAGATGACCTTAAGATAAGGAGATTACTTAGCTGGGGCTGACCTAATCACGTAAAGCTTTAAAAGCAGAGAGTTTGCTCCAACGGATTGCAGAAGAGGAAGGGGGCCAGCTGGCAAGGAATGTGGTCAGTCTCTAGCTGCTGACAGGAGCTCCCAGCTGACAGCCAGTAAGAAAATAGGGACCTCAGTCCTACAATGGCAAGGAACTGAATTCTACCAACAAGAATAAGCTGAAGGCTGGGGCCAGTTGCTCCCATCTATAATTCCAGCACTCTGGGAGGCCGAGGTGGGTAGATCACCTGAGGTCAGGAGTTCAAGATCAGCCTGGCCAACATAGCGAATTCCCCGTCTCTACTAAAAATACAAAAAATTAGCCGGGTGTGGTGGCGGGTACCTGTAATCCCAGCTACTCAGAAGGCTGAGGAAGAATCCCTTGAACCCAGGAGGTAGAGGTTGCAGTGGGCTGAGATCGTGCCATTGCACTCCAGCCTGGGCAACAAGAGCAAAACTCCATCTCAAAAAAAAGAGTGGGCTGAGAAGAGGATTTTCCCTCAGAGCTTCCAGGTGAGAACTCAGTCCAGCCCAACACCTTGATTGATTTAAACCTTGAGATACTCTGAGCAGAGAACCCAGTCACAATGCGCCATACTTCTGACCCTCAGAACTATACACAGAACTAATAAATAGGTGTTGTTTTAACTTGCTAAGTTTGTGGTGACTTATTATGCGGCAATTAACAAAAAACTAATATGATTATTTAAGTCTAAGCTGTCAGAGATAGTTTCCTGAAAGAGGTGGCATTCTAACTCAGACATGAAGGAAATGAAGGAACTAGACACAGGGGAAGAGTGGTCTAGGCAATGGGAATTTAGACACCATACGTCCCAGGTAGCAATCTGTCTGGCATGTTCAAAGAACAAGAGGGCCTGGTGTGGCTTAAATAGAGTGAGCAAGGAAAAGTAAGGCTGGAGAAGTGGCTGGGGCCAAATTATCCTGGTCATTCTGATGGTGGTGGTGGCAAATCTCCAGAGATTGACCCCCAGCAATTCCAGCCCTTCCTCTACATGAATACTCCTCCTCCTATCAAAAGGTGGAGATTATGTCCTATTCTGTGAATTTGGGCTTTGACTAAGAGAATGGGGAGAAATTTTCTGGGACTTCTAAGCCCAGGCAACTTCTGTTGACTCCTTAGATTATTGAGCTACCATGTAAGAAACTCAGGCTAACCTGAGAAACAGGTATGGAGGATGAGAAACCATACAGAAAGGCAAAGGAGCAAACACCCAGAAGCATAATAGTGACACAATCTGACACCGTTTAAAAGGACCACTGTTATGTGGTTCTTTCAAATTACATGGGACATAAATAGAAGGAGGCCAATTAAGACAATGCTTCAAACAGTCCATGGAAGAGAGAACAATCTCTTAGATCACAGTGGCAGCTACAGAGGTGGTGAGAAATAACTGGTATTCAGTGGATATTCTGAAGACAGATCCTACTGAATTTGCTGATAGATTGGATATGAGTATCAGAAAAAAGGAGGAGACAAAATCACACTCAAGTCTGAAGCTGGGGGTCACTAGGAAAGATTCAGAAATCAATAGAAAAGATTCAGAAATCAGTGTTTTCTGGATAAAGACTAGAAATGCCAATAATAGAGAACAATCAGCAACTTAATAAAATTGTTCCACTTATACATTAAATAAACAAGATATTGTTATAATCATGAGGAGTCATGCTTTGATCAGTGGATATCAGATTGTTAGACTTTTGCTACTCTGAAGAAAGTGGGATTTTCTTTAAAGGATAATCACAAATGGTTACAACTGGGTACTTTTCAAAGTAATTTGATGAATCTTTGGCATATTTATCTAAGACAATCCAAATGTGGCAAGAAGACCCATGTTACCATAGAGTTCATTCCTGCTTAGATATACTCAATGTGAAACATGCTGTAAAACTGTACCAAATTTAGATAATTCATTTCAAGGCTCAGGCCTGCCTTATTGTCTTTTATTTATTTACTTTTATTTTTAGAAACAGGGTCTTGCTCTGTCACTCAGGCTAGAGTGGTATGATTGTAGCTCACTGCAGCCCTGAACTCTTGAGGCCTGCCTTATTTTCTAGATGTTAAATCCTATACACAGGCCTCTTTACAAAGTAAAGCTACACAGCTGAAAGCGTATTTTCAAGAATGGCATTAGGTCACATTATGTAGACAGAAGGAGCTGACACCTGTAAACAGCAAGTCCTGGTGTGCTGAGATGGATGTTTTCTAGCATAAATGCCATTGTTGCCTATGAAACAGACTAAAAATGATTAATAAGAACCTTGTTGGATACAGGCCTTGGGGGACTTTAGGGCTGCTTTTTGTGTAGGTTATTTGTTTGTATCTCAGAAATGAAAACTCGTGTAATGTGAAGATTTAGAGAACTAACAAACAAGTGAGTTTATAATCTTGACCAAATGCCACGTCTCATCCCAACAATGAAAACCTCCCACTCTATCATTTTTTATATATTTGTCTTTTAAAAGGCACCCTTTGTCTTTTAAAAGGTGAAAATGGACCTGAGTTGGGTGCTACTGGAGTACTGTTTTCTGGATAAAGACCAGAAATGCCAGTAACAGAGAAGAACAATCAGCAACTTAATGAAATTGTTCCACATATACGTTAAATAAATGAGATATTGCTATAATCATGAGGAGTCATGCTTTGATCAGTTGCTATCAGACTGTTAGATAAAGCTGCCTAAGGATTTTAAAAGTTTGGGTATCCTACGGCAGAAGCTAAAAAGAAGGCAAGGTTGATACTTTCAATAATCAAATCCTAAGTGGGAATCAAACATTTGGTTATTAGACATAAACAGATTTCACATATTTATCAACTGTTCTGGGCTATTCTAGCTGGCATACATTTT